AGATCTATGGTGCTACGGGGTCATGGGAGCTGTGCACGGTCAACCCTGGCTTCCCCCAAAGGGCACAGCACAAATGTCTCTGCTTGTTCTCAGGCACCTTTCTGGGACGGGCCTGGGACCGGGGCCAGCAGCAGACATGGGGCAGAGTGAGTCTGAGCCTCAGGATGAGCAGGAGGTAGGTGCTGTCCAGTTCCTTGCTGGGGCCCCTGGCAGTTTGTCCTCTGCAGCCTGGCAGTCACTGGAGTGAGCGAGTTCCCAGCCTCTCAACCCCATCGTTCCACCCCTGCCACCCATGTTCAGAGAGCTCCCCCGGCTGGTGGTGTCCACTGACTGGACAAGGACCTGAAGAGACCCTCCCCACCAGCACCATTTCCTGGGCGCTGGGGACACTTCCCTAGTGCAGGGCACCTTGGCTGGCATCCCAGTCAGAGTCCTCCCCAGGACCCCCACTTGCCCCAGCAGGATGCCCCTCCCCTCTGACTTGGGAATGTTAAATCCAGCATCCAGGTCACGTTCCAGCTCCACGAATCCCCCATCTCCCATGGGAACCTTCTTCCCAGATGAGGTACTGGGTTTGACAGTTTGTCCTCACTGTCTGAGCGGACTGAAGTGGTCATTAGAAAGGACTGGCTGAGGCTGACCCATATCAATGGAAAACCCCGGTCACCAGCACATTGACAACTGGCAACCAATGCCCCACCGCCTGTCAGCCGGGATCTGAGCAGAGACCCTGGTTTGAGACCAAAGGACCGGGTGGTGGGAGCTGGGGGGAAAAGAGCTCTTCTGGGAGAGGCTGGGAGCTCTCACTGCTTGGCCTAAGGAAGGGCGTCAGAGACAGCTGGCAGGGCATTGCTCTGGGCTGACGGGACCTGCCTGTGCTTTACCGCTTATGGTGACCTGAGCTCTTCCCACGCCGGCTTCCAGCTGCCTCATAAACCCGCCGGTGTGAGTGTCTCCGGTGCATCGGTCCCTGCGGAGTGGACTCTACCAGGAATCCCCCGTTCCCTCCCCCCGGGTGCTGGGACTCAGGCCTAGGAAA